TCACATTCCCTAGTGCCATTAGTTTTCATTTGTTACTACTGCTGCTGTTGTTTCTGTTGGCTGTGAAGAAAACAAGTTGTTCTTTCCCTATGTCAGGAAATTCTTCTTTTAATTCCAGCAAGCCTTTCACTGTTGCAGTTGATCCTGGGAGTATTGACTGGAGGTAGTATTGATGAAAGCTGGACTCCTTCAGTTTCAAATTTTCAACTGTGCCACTTCTGTTCTAATCTGCCTCTCATTAATAGGATATAACAACTCGTTAACTAAAGGGCGATGCACAGGCGATGCCCAATCTTTAGCAAGGACACCGTAGGACAAAAGGACGGAACGCTTGTCGTCGCCTAGTCGCTCTCTGGGATGTGCCCTGTAACTGACTTCCATTCAGGATTGCAATTTGCAAGTCCATTTTCAGCAATCCTCACTACCTCCGCATAGATGAGAAGCCCAGGGAAAGTAAAAAAGTGCTCGCGGAGCCTCTGTAGTCCCGTCACGGATTGCAAGGAAGTTGGTTTTCGAACTGTATGGGTAGTAGCAGCCCTGCTTCCAATATCCCACTGCCTCCTACAGTTGGATTCGATTGCCTTCTCATGCATAACCTGCATCATCTAACGTAGACAGGGACGTCGCCGAGATTTCCTTTTGGACTTCCCCGGTAATCACGTTGAGTGTCTCACATTCGGTCCTATGGGATTCGAATAACGAGATAAAAAAGTGCATAGTTGTCAAGAGAAGAAAATCGGGAAATAAAAGCCCTCATTCGCATATTTCGGATAACTAGGGGCTTGAGAGTCAGGTCAGCTCCATAACCCCCAACCCCAAACCCCGTTTCGCTAGCAGGTCAAGGAATTTTCCATTCACTGGTCTGTTCATTTCTGTGAACATAGTGATTACTCGTTGTGACGTTGTTTTCGAGTAGTTTCCTCCCTGAATTGCTCATGCCGCTTGTTTGGCTGCCACTTCTAGCCAGTGTTTCCTGTCTGAAAGTCAATTTCCGCCAGTGTCTTGTGCCACAGAAACGACGGCCCTACTCCTACTGCTTTATCTGTTTCCTTTTTGTTCTATGCTTCTTATCGCATCTATTATCCCATACTTTCTGTGAATTTATTCCAAAACCAAGTGCTGACCACAGAGTAACTTCAAGGAGCTCTACAGAAAGCTTCGTCTCGATCAATGCTGCGCAATCTCTCATTTACATCGCATCTTCTAGAGAAAATTATTGCAGTTGGGCGAGTTAATGGACTTTTTCCTGTGTTATGAGTTCCCACTACGGGAATAGGAAATGACGACAAGGTCTTTAAGCATCCCTTGAGGGACGGTTCCAATGGGAGACGGAATACCGGGCCGACGGAGACAGGGTTACTGGTTTATCGGATTGCGCCGTCGATGTACTTCAATTCTAGATTGTTGACCCGTTACAACATTGGGTAGAGATCTTGAGATTCTTTAAGCATGGAATTAAGTCGTTCAAAATGTTCAAGAAAATTCAATCTTCCCTTTCTGAAAGTGTAAGACACAGTGAAACTCTTCTCTACCTTGAGCATTCGAAAAATCCGGTCGGAACCTTCCAAGTTCGTCGATCGAAAAAGTTGTTGAAGTCTCATGTCATCACAAATATTTACGACACTCTGGGCCGGCACCATGGTAGCAACGGATGGTTCTATGGTTATTTCTTGTATTTTTTGCCACTATTCTGTTTCACAATATTTCAAATTGATTTTTTTCAAATGTGCCAATGTGCCAGTGCCAACAACAGTAACTGCGCCGGCCTCATTTTCAGGCCCCTTCACTTATTTTTTGTTGCCTAGGGAACAGATACCAATTTTGCCCTCATGGATTTAGACAGTTTAACAGTCAATGCAGACAATACATTTGATCCAATTTCTCAGTTCCTCGGTTTCTTTCTCATTCTGGATTTTTCAAAAAGTGATAATCACCTTGTACGGACAGCTTGTCTTTTGAGGAGTCACCAGCAGGGATTACGGAAAACACTGAATCAATAGTTCTGACTTCACATTTCATATTGACGTATGTTCTGTTAATATACAACATATTTAAATACGAAATGCAGTTAGGATAACTACTGCAGTACATTCAAGTTTGTTTGCGGAAGAAATTCCCTCCCGGTGCGACTATTCATGGTAATATCGAGATTAAATTGTTCCCCTCAAAGCCTCCATACTTCATGAATGTGTAATTTTTCCGATCAGAAAGTTCTCCACCCCTTCCATAATCTACGCAACTTATCAGATCCCAGTGTTATCGGAGACTTTTATCTAGTCTTACCGAATTTTCACTAGCCGAAAGTTCTAGGCTTAATAAGGGATCTGACGCAAAGTCAGAGAATGGCCCGCTTATGCCAACCAGGCTTTCCAATCCTTTAGGGTCGACGCACGACCCATCTGCGAAGATTGAGCACTGACATGAACATTCATCGATTGGTCCCCGTGAGTAAGTGAGACATACAAGCCTTATACGCATTTAAACTGCCGCTACGATCCTTAATGAACGTGGAATGGGGGTGATTGATTAACTTCCAAAGACTTTGTATTGTTGCTTCACTAAGAGCTTGATGTTTTATGCATGGGTACGATTTCTATACACAAGAGAGTACAGGGTTTTTCTGGAGGGAGAGGATGTTCCCTTCCGTTTGCCCTTGGCTTCGGCTGGCTGACTGGATGAGAAAAGACCCGCATTAAGAGTTGCCCATTTGCCATGCCCGCCCTTTTTTATCTTCCATTCTCTGATGTTCTCGGTATTGCTCACATACATACATCATTTGTCGCTTGTTTTTCTTTCTACGATGTCTACCCCTCCTCTGGTTACTATTCATGGAACGTGTTCTTTTCTATGACTGTTCTTGCTTGTAGCTTTACAATTTATTCACTTCTTTCTCTTGACTGACCACATTACTCTAGACCGACATCATCCACTCAGTGTGGACATTTTCTTTTTCCTCCATACTCTTATTCATTTGTGGCGTTAAATGTTCTAGTTCACACCTTTCTCTCTTGTGAGCTCCACCTCTCTCTACTTTCAAAGTCGGCTAGGTTTTCGATGTTTTTAACTGATGGCAAGATGTATGTAGGGAAGGCAGTAGTCCAGCCGGAAGCGAGGAAATTCGAAAAGTATCATAACGAAGTCAAGGTAATTCGGAGCAAAACCACCTAAAAACGTTCCTATAAATAGCTAAGCCAGGCGATATATCAGGGTGAACGGCATTCAGTCGAAGCAAGTTTTCATTGTAATGGAATACCGAGTTCCGGAGCGATTGTTGCCCTGACTAGAATAATGCAAAATCGAAAACTAAAGCGGCAGTGTGTTCGCCGAGGTGGAGTTTCCCTCACAAAAGCCTTCAGATTCATTCGGTTGAGGAACGGAAAACATGTACTGGGAGAGGAAAATGTTTCCTAAACGTTTTGGTGAGTTCTGTCATTTGTTAAATCATCACTGCTGCATCAGACGTAAGACTTCTGAAGTTACGCCAACAGATGCCACTAATCGAAATGTTTCTCACCTCGAGTGATAAAGTGGCAGGAGCAATAGTGAATTTGATAGCTCTCTCTATGCCAGTTTTCTATTTTTTTCAATTTTCAATTCAATTTTTTCGACTTCCTTTCATGAAGTTGAAGAGTAATAGAACGGTCAAGTGTAATGCCGGTTCACCAACTAAATGTTTGATATCAGCTCTGTATTCGTCTCTATCAAAAGAAGACCGCCAGCCGTCGTGGGTGTATGCGGGAGTTTCGGTTCCAATTTGTCCACTAACAGCTTCATAGCCTTTGGAAGTTCATTTGAAATGCTTTGTTAGTTGTGCTGCCACGAATGCTTTCCGGCCGTCGGTTTTNGGGAGGGCGGTTGTCATCAGCTGGGATTTCCCGTTGCAGTCAAAGCTTCCTACAGCGACCTCAGTATTAACTTAAGAGATACAATACATCGTGTTGAGTGGAATTTCTTGTGAGTACGGTGCCACCGGAGCTCCAAACATCCCAGAATCACGAGTGTCAGAATGCTGTACTTCACAGACAGCGCTGTCGGCTATTTCCAATCAATGAACGCCGAATTTTTATTTAGAATACGATAAAAATGGGTTCGAGGGGATTCCAACCCGAGATACTTTGCACAGCTGTACAAGCTGGCTTCTGGTATTCAGAGTGTGACTCGTCAAATTTTCTCGCTTTCACATCGTCTCCTCTCTTCACATGATTTGCGAAGCTTCAACAGAGCAATACAATTTGGAATCTGGGTCTCATTACAGCTCGAATAGGGAAGCCCTCACGGTCGGGAATTGTCTCAGGTGTAACTGATGTTAATCGCGTTGATTGACCGTGAAATTTTTCGTCATGGATCTCTGACTCAATCATTTTCCTACATTCCAGCACAATTTATTTCCACTGTGTTACGCTCGGTGTTTCTTGCTTGTTTCCACTTATTTCCTTGTTTTCAGAGTCGACATGGACAAGCCGCGTGTCCCCTGGAATTATACTTTGCCTAACGGGAACGTCGCTGTAACGATGGATGTGAGTCTTTCTTAATACCTTCAAATGCTCTTGAAAACCCATGTTCATGCTGAATGAGGCCTTTTTATGGGCCTACCTGCAATACCGCTAACTTCTCATATCTTGTGCAAATAGATGCAGTTTTTTTGCGAGTAATTTTGCAAAACAAACAGTTTTCATGAAGGTTTGGGGAGGGGGGGACGAGTCATCATAAAGTCTTCGTAGACGTAAGGTGGTTGTCTGCCATTTAGCTTCTGATTGCAAGGGTTGAATTTGATGGTGCGTCAAAAATGAGCGATTGGGACGATATAGTGCTTTATTCATAATCAGAAACCCTAATTAGAATTGTAATTTTTTTTTGAATGGTTGATTTTGCAGGTGTGCTTCCAAATGTTACGTGATCAGGGTATTCCACCCGTTCCGGAGCCAAGTAAGTAAATTTCATTTTTGTTTTCTGTGGTGTCTCAGAAGGCTTACGAGGGACGCAGTTTCTGCATCAGATAACTCGCCCACTTGATTCATCTTGGAATTTTTCCAAAAAATGATTTTCCCGTTTAAAGAAAAAGGTTTTTAAACAACAAGTTAGAAGAGATATGTCATATTCGTGTAAAAACAATATGGTGTGTTTTCCTCCTAAAGTGAGCAGGCTTTGCAATATTTTCTGAACAAAATGGATTCCTGCTAGCGTTAATCCACTGAAGCCGTTTCGCTATCATCAGGTTTCATTTAAAAATAGAAGGGAAGGGAACTCTGTCTCGTCCACTGTGGTCACTTACTACATANATCCTCGAGTCTTTTTGCCCAGCTTCCTTCAAGGTGTGCCACAGTAATCCAATAAAATCGTGAAAGGTTCTTTGCATTATCTTCCCACGTGCAGACATTTCCTTACAATATCGAGTGCTCCAGGGTTGCAGTGCTTGCTAGTCGACAAAACAATCGGTCGCAAATAAATCTGAAACTCTGATTTCAGCTGACGGTAGTTTATGGTGTAACGCCACATATGACACCGTCCTCTGTTGGCCACCCACACCAGCGAACACAAGTATCGTGCTACCATGTCCTCCACTCAAGGGACTTGATCCCACTCGTGAGTTTTTTCCTCAATATCGTCAAGTTTTTCTGTATATGGTTGATTGGGTTACGGCTCAACCGTTCTGGATGGGTTTCCTTTTTTTATTGTTTCAGTTGTTTACCTTTTTTATAGAAGTCTCGATCATGACATTTATTGAGTGCTGCGATAGCAGTAATTCGAATCCGAATGTGAATAGTAATTCAAAAACGGATTCAAGTTACCCATTAACATAAGTTCTCCCATGAGGCAGGGTGCAACACCATCACGTTACTTCAGTAGTGCCACAGCTATGTACGGCTGTAATCTCACAGAACACCTCCCAACATTCGATTTTCGAGTAGAGTTTAAGTGAAAGTTTTTACTGGGCTGTGAACTCTGGCAGTCTTCACAATGGGGCTACTTAGTTTCTACAATCCATCGAGTTTTAGTTTGGACCTTTTTTTTTTGAATGTGTCCAATGTAGTTTTTTGTTTTAATCATTAGCTATTGAGTTTTTTTTGTGTATTCAACTACGGTGCATGTAAAATACGGGGTTGAATTGGATGAATTGTCATGGTTTAGTGAACAAGGGGTCCTTGATCGGGTTTTGCCCGATGAACAGGTATTTTTCCATGGTTGGGAGCTCATTTTGCATTATTTGACTGCAGATCCTTTGAATAGTGAAGTAGATATCACAATTGAGAGTGAAAGAATTAAGCATTGCTAGAAGCCGGTAAGGTGGTGGAATCATTTTTTTCAATTCGAATAATGCGTACCCAGCTCGTTTTTAGCAGCCCATTATCGAGTTTTCGAATTCATTGAAAAGGGGCGGAAAGTTTTTTCTTTTGCTTTTGATAATGCTTTCCTTCTTGACCTAATGTATATTAATATTATAGGAGAAGCACATTCGGTATTCTGCCGACGCTCGATTTCATCTAATAACATCTAATTCACTTAGATGTTGAGGCTTTTTTTAGCGCATGGGCGGCAGGATGCCGTTTGTGCCCAGATGGGGTTGTTGCATGGTGCATCCAATGTTTTTTGATAGCGGTTTCAGGTCACGTAGTAAAATCGTGCGACCGATTTGGTCGATGGGCTGGCAAGACGGAAGGCGTGTACGAGAATCCGTGGGGATGGACGAATTTCATCGTCTGCTTTAAAATGGGCTTCGAAAACGTGAAAGTAGGCTCTCTCATAAACGAACAGCACCGCTCCTGTCATTGCAGTCGACAATTTCTTGCTCGTAGTTGCTTGCTGGCTCTTCTATGTGCACTGCATGCTCGTGACTATCCAGTGGCTGCCTGTTCAGCATGCAAGTGTTCCGTCCCGTCTTCTCTGTGAACGGTTGCTTGCTTCTTCCTTTGCCTAGCTCTTCTTCTCATCGT